AAACATTTATTTTTATCATATTTTACATTTCTTATTTCAAATTGCACTTAACATGTCCACTTCAAAAATACACCTGAACACCTGAACAGCCACAACACTGTGGTGTGATGCATGAATGTAGTAACATTCATGCATTACTAATTCTCTTGTTTTAATGTAAAATGCTCTGTACCTACTGCCATCTAGTGGTAATAAAATTACGATTACGCCGCTAATCACTACAGCAGAGACACTCAAAGATGGCATCATTTGCAGATAATTAATTTGTTTTCAAACAAATCTTTTAAGACCAATTACCATATTTTCCGGTCGATGAGCGCACCATACTATAAACCGTACCTTAACATTTTTTAACCCGCCTCCCCCCTCCTGGAAACTTACATATATCAGCCGCACCGGGCTACAGGCCGCTGGTATCTCTGCCGCTCTCAGTTTCCCTTAAGGACCAGCAGAGGGCAGCAGAGGGCAGCGTCCTAATAACTGCTGGATATATTAAGGACGCAGTTCTCCGTCTCCAAATCCGGTTTTGTTCACACCGAGTTTACGTGCAGCGGCTTTATTTCCCTCCTGTACTGCCAGATCGATGCTCCTCAACTTAGAAGCTGCTTCATATGAGTTTGAAAACATTTCTCCGTCGTGCTGCTGCTAGCATGTGCTTGTTCTAAATGAAAATTAGCGCGTTCTTCTTTCATTTCCAATTTTGACTTTCAGTGACTCACCCCCTGCTAAAGAGCCCCCTGGTGGTTGAGGAAAAATCCACAGAAAAGCCGCATGTTCAAAGTGTAGGAAAGAAGTAGCAGCTTACAGTCCGGAAAATACGGGAGGTGAAATTGGATAATTTCTACGGCACACCTGACGATCACTCACGGTACACTAGTGTGCCGCGGCACAGTGGTTGAAAAACACTGGCTTAGGGCATCATGGGGGCTTGGGCCGGCCCTGGTTGAATCTGTGGGGTTTTGACGTGACCTCCTGACCTTTTTACAGTCAGATTATTGACCTAAATCTGGACCAGGATGTCCCGTCCTTAGCTTGGACTGTTGGCCTGACGACGCCCCCACATGGACAGTCTCAGGGTTTAGCTGGACCTGGCCAGCAGAACTAGTCTAGAGGAGCTTCCTGTGTAGCTGCAGCGCATGTCCTCCCTGACATGGTTAGCTCTGCCCCAGAGTGACCCCATGACCCCGCTCCCTCCCTGCAGAGAGCAGCTCTAGATCAGGTCTGAGGTCTCTCTCTCCCCTCCCCCATTTCCGTTTAGTCTACAGATGGGTGAGTATCAGTTACTGGTTCAGACCTGGACCTGCTGCAGCACAAACATCACAGCTCAGATTATTCTGGATCCGAATCGGATCCAGAATCAGAACCAGATTCTGGATCAAGACCCTCCAGAGGTTGCTGACCCCCTTCAGTGTTTGGGTTTTATCCGGCTGGTTCTGGCTCTGCGGCGCCGCTGCAGATGTTTGTGCTCCCAGCCGTTACCCAGCATGCATCCTGATTCCTGCGGCTGACCCTTGCTGCTTGGCGGTTCCCCGACCGGGTCGGCGGCGCTGGACAAAGCCCGGCTGGCGCCGACAGAAGAGGATGCTGGGAAACCTTCTGCTGCCAGGCGATGCTGACGCTCATTAGAGTTTTGGCTCAGAGGCCAGCAGGCCTGTGGGAGACTCTCAAAGCGGACCAGAACCAGTTAAACCAGATGAAGCTCGCTGATTGGTTCATAAACAGGAGGCTCATCGGTCTGCTTGGTGACCGCCCCAGGGGTCAAAGGTTGGATTGATTCTGTAGTAGACCTGAGCAGTAACCGTTACTTTAGTGCTAGCCGGCGGCGCGCTCCGTTTTCTTGCGTTTTGATCAGTTGGGGTCTCGTCCGCGATCTCACACTGACTGAGTCCTTCATCCTGGAGACCTCAGAACCTAAAACTTGTCCGGTGGGAACCCGTCCTCCGTTTCTACATCTTTACTGGAGGGCTATTGGGCGACCCAGCAGGAAGCGGCTCACTCAACTTCCTGTTAGCTCAGCGGATCATAAGCAGCAGCAGAGATGGTTTCATAGCGAAGTGTCCCTGTGAGAGTCTCCTGCGCTCAGGTCTCCATGTCCTGCCCGTGTCCTCACGTCTGTCCTCTCTGTCTCCGTCTCCCTCAGAAGAGTTCAGGCTCTGAGCTGCAGGAGATCATGAGGAGGCGGCAGGAGAAGCTAGCAGCTAGCACCGTCGACTCGGGGGTGGAGTCTTTCGACGAAGGCAGCACCCACTGAGCGTCCGCCGTCTGTTTCTCCCGCTCTCCACCCACAGGTGGCAGCTGACCGGGCCGAGTTCGTGGAGATCATGCGGCGCAGACAGGAACTGCTCAGCTTGTCACCGTAGCAACGGATGGACATCCAGAAATCACAGAACCTTCTGCCATGTTTGCCTGAACTTGACGGGGACGTTTTGCTACTTGTAGCTGATTTTTCCAAAGCGAAGCCTCACAGTATTAATGTCGGACCGCCTGCAGGCAGCTCTTTGTGCCTCTCGGGTTTTATTCTCACTTCCTGGAAGGCAGAAAAACTTTCATGCATAAATACTTCCCTGATTCACACTTAAAGCAAAACCATTTTCATTTTCCTGCCAGTTCCTGGATTTAAATAAAACTTTGTCAGATTGTGAAATAAATCTCAAGTTCTGCTGATAATATTCATCTCTGCATGAATGTGAAGATGGATTTATTTCTCAGGATCACAAAGTTTAGTTCATATGTTTAAAACCTGGAATATTCTAGTTCTTCTGTGTCTGAATGGGATAAAAATCCATGAGAAGCACAAACTGAAGCTGCTGAGTTAATAAACGTAGATTGATCCGTTTAGGGTAACGTAGATTTTCTGATTCCGTTCTGAGGCTGTAGGCGTTAACTTTAAAACTAAAGGATGATATATTAATGATTAATTTAAGATAAAACTGCTGTACACAGAATTATTCTAGATTTGATCTTCAAATGTGAGAATGTATTTGAGCTCAAGGTGAAGAATGTAGGACTGTCATGAATGTCTCCGCCCACATGTGCAGGTGAGTCATCCCACCTGGCTGAAGCAGAACCGGGTCCGACTGATGCCGGTCCTTCAGGGATGACCTGGAAATGATTTCTGTTGTACCTATGTGAAAACTTCTGCTGAAAGGAGAGGTAGTTGGCATGTGTATTGTAGCACTGCAGCACTGTAATGAAACTGATGACCATCAGCTACTTTGCTTTAAACATGATTAGAGATCTTTACCCAATCAGGTGTAGCAGCCAATCAGAAAGCAGCATTAATAGTTTTCATCGTGCCTTTTTCCATGTAACTGCTCATTCTGCAATAAAGGATTTCCATAAATCCCAGACTCTTCCTGACTCCTGCAGGTTTAATCAGTAGCTGAACCTAAAAGTTTTAAACAAACTCATCTGTTTAAACATGACAACTGGGTGTTCTAATTTGTAACATCCTCATTACTTGGGGAGAAATATTTGACTAATGGAGATGGTATTATGTCACATTTTTAGGGTTGCACAATAAAAAACATTGATCATAGCTTCAACATGAAACNATGACCTCAAAATGTGCAAAAATGAGTCATAGTATAGTATGATGTCGAAAATGTGCAAAAATGAGTCATAGTATAGTATGAGGTCGAAAATGTGCAAAAATTAGTCATAGTATAGTATGATATCGAAAATTTGCAAAAATTAGTCATAGTATAGTATGACTTCAAAAATTGCAAAAATTAGTCATAGTATAGTATGATGTCGAAAATATGCAAAAATAAGTCATAGTATAGTATGTCGAAATTGTGCAAAAATGAGTCAGTATAGTATGACGTCGAAAATATGCAAAAATAAGTCATAGTATAGTATGACTTCAAAAATTGCAAAATTAGTCATAGTATAGTATGTCGTCGAAAATGTGCAAAAATGAGTCATAGTATAGTATGACTTCAAAAATTGCAAAATTAGTCATAGTATAGTATGATGTCGAAAATGTGCAAAAATGAGTCATAGTATAGTATGACTTCAAAAATTGCAAAATTAGTCATAGTATAGTATGATGTCGAAAATGTGCAAAAATGAGTCATAGTATAGTATGACTTCAAA